ACTATAATTTCGAACATGTTCAAAAACAACAGTTGTATCTATAAGCTTTTAAACTATTTACAGCCCGAGCGCTGATTTACATATTATCCATTTTTGCCTTATAAAAAATGATTTGATTTCCTGGGGAACTCGGGTTAGGAGAAAATAAAATGCATTCCGAGCTGTTCACTCTCAACTCTTCTTACACGATGAGAATTTCAAAATAAAACTAGAGGAAAAAGCCACCCCCAAAGGCAGCCTTTGAAATGCATTACCTTTTTGTCCCTGCTTCCAGTAATAAAATAATTGCTATCTGGAGTCCAATCACAGGTCCAAATGATACGACTATGCACAGCAATGTTCTTTCCTGTGGCTGCAAAGAGGCTGAAAGCTGGTTCTGTAATGACACATCAACATAGAATAAGCTTTCTTGTCACAGCAAGCAGGCAGCTTTCCAAAAAAAATAACATCGCCTCAAAAATAATGAGAGGTTATCAGAAATCTAAACTTGGAGTGCCCTCCCATCTTCCCCTTCGGATGGATGACACCTCCTTTTTCAACGATGCAGAGGCTTCCAGGTGTTGAGGCAGATTATGTACCCAAGGAAAGCAAAGCTTGCCAGCAGCAGAAAAATATTTACGGCCAACTGGACACTGCTGATATATTTAGTTCAGGTTGTTCTCCAGTGGTGAGTTTCAAAAATTTTGGAACCTCTTCTGTAGGTGTGGCCTGCTTTCCGGGTCCACTGGTGGAACCTCTTCTAACCGGTTCGGTGGATTTGACGAACTGGTTCTACCGAATAGGTGCGAACTGGTAGGAACCCGCCTCTGGTTGGGATCCAGTTCATCGGTCTCAGATTCCATTCTCACTACTTCTCTGTCTTCGTCTATTACTTATCAGGGGATGAGAGCTTGTCAGAATCACAGTCAAATAAGATATGGCACTTATCAACTGTTGATTGAAGAGGTGGGATAGGCTTACGTTCCTTTTTTGGGGGGTAGCTCAGAGAGTCCTGTTTTTTGGTTGCTTATCTTTTTTCAGTTCAGAGGTTTTTCTACCACGGGTTTTCAGCCCTTTCAGAGGTGGTATTCAGCAGGTTCTGACCAGTTCTGGAGAACCGGTACCGGAAATTTTGAGTAGTTCGAAGAACCGGTAAACACCACCTCTGGCTGGCCTCGCCCCTGTCTATTCTCTGCCTCCCGAGTCCCAGCTGATCGGGAGGAAATGGGGATTTTGCAGTAACCTTCCCCTGGAGTGCAGAAGGAATGGAGATTTTACAGTATCCTTCCCCTGCCACGCCCACCAAGCCATGCCACGCCTGCCGAACCGATAGTAAAAAAATTTGAATCTCACCACTGTGCCCTTTGTGCTAGTTGCCTTTGTCGCATTACTATTTTTACTTCCTCCAGATGTGTTGGTGTTTTGGGTCCCTTGTACACTTAATAAAACTCATAAAACTTTAAAAACAGCATAACAGCAAGACGAGGATAAGAGAAATGCGTTAAAAGGTAAGTTAAGGGATAGGTTTGTTCGAGCACAGTTACTCTTGTACGCCTATAATTCAACCCACAGCTTCCTTACTGTCTTTGTTGTTGGGTGAGAATGGAAAACAAATTCCAGCAGTGCCCAAATGTGACAATTTAGCACAAAAACATAAGTTTTCTGCACAATGCCAAACTGTTCTAACACAAAGTTGTTGGATTCTTTGCAGATGTCTACTGCTCCACAGAGGCCAGCTGGCCGGGAAACCAAATATGTAAGTATCTTCATAAGATGGTCTTCACATTTGTTTTTAATAGCAGGACTCACCTTTGAGAGGACTTGTGAGAACTCTGCCACTAATGATTGAATAATTAAAATGAGTCTCCAAAAACTGTGGTTTAGGCTGAGCTGAGAATAGCCTTCCTTCCTTTCCTTCCTTCCTTCCTTCCTTCCTTCCTTCCTTCCTTCCTTCCTTCCTCTTTTCATTTTGAATTAATCTTGCAATTTTTTGAGAGGCAAGAATGCTGCAAATCGACATTGTGAGTTTCTTTCTTTCTTTCTTCCTTCCTTCCTTCCTTTCTTCCTTCCTTCCTTCCTTCCTTCCTTCCTTCCTTCCTTCCTTCCTTCCTTCCTTTCTTTCTCTTTCT